GGTTGATACAGTAAGCGTGAAGTGGCAGAAGAAAGTATTTGAAGGTATAGAGATTGATGTTAGTCTACCTCCTTATGTTTTCAAGGCTCAGTTGTATGATTTGACTGGAGTACCACCTGAGAGGCAAAAGATTATGGTCAAAGGTGGACTCTTAAAGGTATAATTTTTGGGAATCATAGACTACTAATTTAGATTGTGTTTTATTGAATGTTTATCACTTTGGTTTGATGCAGGATGATGCAGATTGGTCTGCTATTGGAGTGAAAGATGTAAGAAGATTGACATTTTTTTTTCCTGGATTGCTTCGTGTTGTAATGATGCTTATTTATTTTTTTCAATTCTAAGGGTCAAAAATTGATGATGATGGGAACTGCGGATGAAGTAGTGAAAGCTCCTGAAAAGGCCATTGTCTTTGCTGAGGATTTACCTGAAGAAGAGCAAGCAACTCATCTGGCAAGTCTTTTTTTACTGATGATTATAATTTATAAGTGTGCACGAGTGTGATATTTGTGGAGTCAAATGATAAAACCTCTCTACAGATTATTCGAGAATCCCCTAGACCACACACACACTTTCTCATAGCTGCCCTTTAACACACACACATTCTTAAAGTCTGATGTTTCTTAGCTGTCATAGCTGCAATTTGGAACAAATTACCTAAGCTAGTAACAATTCTGCAGTATACTAACAAACAAGCCTTATAAGTGTGTTTCTTGGGGTTTGGTAATTGTTTCTAACTTTACAATGCTTGGACCATAGACAATGCACATTCATAGAGTTCACGTGAAAAAAAGATAAACCAACTTTTGCTAGGGATTGTAAAAATTGGTGTCATGTTTTGTTTGTATATTCAGAAAATTTGAGCATCCGCCCTATCAACTAACAAACATTACAATTGATTTCAGGGTTACAGTGCTGGCCTTGTCAATCTTGGCAACACGTGTTACATGAACTCCACGGTGCAGTGCTTAAAATCTGTCCCAGAGTTGAAATCTGCATTATCCAAGTCAGTTCAGATCTTATCCTTTACTGTTATTCTCTGTTTCTTATTCAAATATCGTTATCTCATACAAGCAATTTCCTCTTAATAGTTACTCACTGGCTGCACAAAGCAACGATGTTGACCAGACTTCTCACATGCTCACAGTTGCCACACGTGAGTTATTTAGTGAGCTTGATAGAAGTGTCAACGCTGTTTCACCTACGCAATTCTGGATGGTTAGTCTCTATGTCCATATAATACTTTATAACATTTTAGTTCTCTTACCTATTCATATTTGCTCTTCTGGACTATGTAAGTCAGAAACAAAAAAATTCCCATCCAAAACAGTCTCTGCCTTCAATTTCTAAAACATAATCCAGTTTATGGGTTTGAACATAAATGTTTGCAAATAATCTAATATGTCAATAACATTCATCTATGATCAATAGATAACCATACGTCTGAGGGGGTTTGTTAGAAGCCTCATCTCATGCTTTTTGCTAGTTCTCATTAATGGCATAAGATTTTGGAAGTTTCTAGTTCTTGGCGGATATCAAATTTGTTCTTTGTGTAGGTATTACGGAAAAAATTTCCTCAATTTAGTCAGTTGCAGAATGGAATCCACATGCAGCAGGTTTGTTTCGTACTGGAAAATTGGTTGCATTATGCCTTTAACCTTTCAGATTGTGAACTCATGCTATTAAATTGTCTTAACAGGATGCTGAAGAATGTTGGACTCAGCTGTTATATACTCTTTCTCAGTCCTTAAAACCACCAACTTCCAGCGAAGATCCTGATGCTGTGAAAGCTCTCTTTGGTGTCAATCTTCAGAGCAGGTATCTGTGCAAATTTCGCATCTGCCTTACTTTATTTTTATTGATCATTCCTTGAACTGGTTTTATAGTCTCATTGATCTGTACACAACTTCAAAATCTGTGAATGTCTTCATTCTGTAATTTATTATTGAAGCAGGCTAATTGACAAAACGGTGGTCAATACCTGAAATTTTTTAGTTACAGCATATTATTTAGTACAAGGATGAAAAACTAGGTGTGCTTGAAAATGTTACAGAGTTATTGCGATGACAAACTGCATGTGTGTGTGTGTCTGCATGTATCAAATACTTGTTGAGGTTTTCCTTCATGGAAATATATGAAGTTTTGGCTGTCGTGTTTGCTCATGTGAAATTGACAACTGAAGATGTGAATACTTGGTGGTTTTTTCATCTTGCTTAGAAAATTCTGTTGGCTTATATTTGGTTTCTGTGTTGTAGGTTGCATTGTCAAGAAAGTGGCGAAGAAAGCTCAGAGACAGAATCTGTATATTCTCTTAAGTGTCATATATCACATGAAGTGAACCACTTGCATGAAGGATTAAAACATGTGAGCAATTTTTATAATTCCAACTTTCAATATAGATTTGTTTCTGATTTTTACTTCTGCATTTTTCTCTGATATAGTGCGTGCATAGAAAAACTAGGACAACGTTATACATCTTGAATTTATTCTTCTGGTTTACTGCAGGGACTGAAAGGGGAACTTGAAAAAACTTCTCCTGCTCTGGGTCGTACTGCGCTTTACCTCAAGGAGTCCCTTATTGATTCCTTGCCAAGGTGATCAGTCTCTGCTTATTCTTTGTGACTTTAATTGCTTCATATCCAGGCATGTCCCAGAGAACGTAATTTTCAACTTACTAATTTAGTTGAACTTTGAATCCTTTTTCCTCTGACGCGAAGTTTCTTTCTCTTCTTACTGGTCTTGAAGGTACTTGACTGTTCAGTTTGTGCGATTCTTCTGGAAAAGGGAGACTAATCAAAAAGCTAAGATTCTCAGAGTATGTTTGCTTTCTGTTTTTGTATCTTAAGCAAAAGTCTGGATGCTCTTATTGTTCTCGTAATGTCCCCAACTTGTTGATCTTTGAAGAAAGTGGATTATCCGCTGGAGTTGGATATATTTGACCTTTGTTCCGAGGATCTTCGGAAGAAACTGGAAGCTCCTCGCCAGGTTTGCACTGTCTATTGTAGTTAGCTCAAACTATCTGGGCTGGTTAACCAAATCAACTGACAGTTGTGTCTTTCAGAAACTTAGAGATGAGGAAGGTAAAAAGCTTGGTCTGCAAACTAGTGCAAAGAGTGACTCAAAGGACAGTGATGTGAAAATGACTGATGCAGAGGTACAATATCTAATTTTACTTATAAATCACATGTTTAAGTACAATCTTTTAAGACCCAACAAAAAAAGTACAATCTTCTAAGACGTTTCTTGCTCTGTATTTGTTTCCAGGGGTCATCAAATGGAAGTGGAGATTCATCCACAGTAAACCAAAATGAAGGTACATTATCTAAGACCCTTTTTCAACTTATTTTCTAATCAATTGTGGTAAACTTAAGAACCTTGATATTTGGTTTAAAATTTGATGTTTGTTTGTTCGCATTTCTCATTTTAAAGCAATCAAGAATCTTGTCAGATTCTAATCATGAGGAATCTAAATTTGGCTTTGTAATCAAACCTTATAGGTTCTTCTTCTGGGAAGGAAACTCACATGACTGGAATCTATGACTTGGTCTCTGTGTTAACCCACAAGGGAAGGAGTGCTGACTCTGGTCATTACGTGGCATGGGTCAAGCAAGAGAGTGGTTAGTTCTTTTTCTTTAACCTCTCTCTCTCACACACACACAATCTCTCAATCATTTACTACAAATTCATGCTATTTCAGGCAAATGGATTCAATATGACGATAGCCACCCGAGCTTGCAACGCGAGGAAGACATCACAAAGCTATCCGGAGGAGGTAAACCCGATAGCTTTAATTCGC